AGCACACTGCATTCGGCCGAGTGTGAGCAGAATCCGTAATGAGAGAGAGAGCGAGAGACAACGAGAGGACAGGAAGAGCGATGGTAACACTAAACAGGACGGAAGAACAGAAGAGAGTTCAAAGGTAGCGATAGAGAGACTGTGAGGTAAAGTTGAGAGAGGGAGGTTTGTGTCTAATGAAAGAGCTTGGAGTGTGCGGCAGCGAGACTCAGACTGTACTGCAGTGAGGGGGACTTCAGCTTGTGTGGATGCGCTCTAGCCTGTGCTGCTCTCCCGTTTTGGATGGGTGGCTCCATTAGGGAGGACAGAACTATTGCCTGGTAAGGGCTTTCCCATTTCTGCAACCCCCCGCCCGATCCGAAAAGCATGCTAACATTTTTCAAGCTGTTCAATAGTTGTTTGCGCGGACAATAGCAGGTAGTTTTCGTTTCGCCAGCTGCATCATGAAGAGTTTGCCTTCACTCCCTGATTTCAGAAGTGAGTTTGAAGCGGGACATGAATGCATGAAGCCCTGAAGATCAAGTTACTTGATGTAGAATCTTGCGTACAAGATGTACAAAAGACTACAAAAGAACAAATCAATTGCTAGTCTTATCCCACTTAATTGAAGCTACATATATTTGAGGCAGAGTGAAAGTTGTTTTTACTCTGCTGAAATTAATTCTACATCTGTCCAGGCTGGTTTATGTTAGTTTAGCTAATTTCTGTACTACATTTGCAGAAGTTTTGTTAAAATTTGCTGCATTAAATCTTTGAAAGATACCATATATATATATATATATACAGTTTTGAACTGTATTTTCGGCTTTGTTTTCCAAGTTTTGAATTGGTGAAGATTGCGATTACAAACTTTTGTTTTCAGTACAGCTGGTCACAGACTGACTGCTGTAAAATTTGTTTTTATTTTATTTTATTTTTATATTTGTTTTATTTTATATGTTTATGTTTGTTTATTTATTTATTTATTTTTGCCGTTTTCATAGACTGGCACTGCTGTAAAAGTAGGTATTTATTTGTTTTATTTATTTATTTATATGATCACACAGTTTACATATATTTCCTCTCGCTCTTTTTTTTTTTTTGATGTGTTCTGTACAGCTATTCATGGACTGACATTGCTGTAAAATTTATGTATTTAATTTATTTTATGTTATTTTATTTATTATTTTATTTTATTTTTTATTATTGTATAATCAGAAAGTTTACATATATTTCCTCTCATGTTTAGCCGGTCATGGACTTTTAAAAAAAAAAATTTTTTTTTTTTTCATATTTAGATAAATCTGTCCCTAAATGTCATGTTTAAAAAAAACTAACTCTGCTTTTACACGTTACTTGAACAAATCAAAAAAGTAGGCGAAAACTACATATGGTAGTGACCAGCTATGGCGGTTATTTCAGATGGGTAGTGTTGCTTTGCTGGGTTACTGGACTGGTTATTGATTTTTCTATAATGGCTGTCCATCACAGATCTCCTCAGGAGAAAACCCTTTGCAGATATTCCAGAAACAGCTTTTCATTGAGATGCAGTGGAGGTGTTGAGAGCTTGAGATCTCTGAGATAAGCAGGCTCTTCAGTACAGATGGCATTGCCAAGGGTGTAGATACTACTGTAAATGGATGTCATCAGTTATTGCGTGAGGATAGTCGTCATGCTAGCGGCTGTGCCAGTGAAGCAGATGTGACTGTCTGTCTCCATTCATAAGACGAGACGTTTATGAAGCTCTCTGGTTGTGTGAGGATGTTTCTCAGGAGAGCTCGAATGCTAACAGGGTCTTTAAGGCAGTTAAGAAGTACATAAAATAACAGCATATCAGTGACAGAGCACATAAAGATCACCGCTTGTAGCTTTAGCTTTACCTATAATTTGATTTGCTTTATGGCAGATACAATTTCTAACCTTATTGATTTCCTCATGGATTTGTTTCTCTGGTTTTTCCACACCAACAGAAGCAAACTCTCACTCTGCAGTCTCTTTTTCTCTCAATTTCTTCTGTTTCCAGGTCGGTCGTGATCTAGATGAATGTATGTCTAAATCCAGCGCGTGTCCCCGTCGCAGACACACATAATCAGGGTGAAACCCCATGCGCCGACTGACCGCATATCCCAGTTCTGTCCGCTTGTCTTTTAGAGCGAGCTGTAAATTAATTTGTCTCCACAATTCAGACAGATCACATCTCCAGTGTTCAGCCTCTTCAGGCCCAACATAATCAGCATTTGCATGTACATTTCATGAATTTGGCAGTGTGTCTTACAGGCAATTCATATTATATATTTTATCAGTATCTGTTTTTCCTGCAAATGAATCGATAGACAGATATGATCAAACAGTAGATATTAAAAGTTTGTGACTATCCAAATCAATCAAGCATATAATTTTTTTCTATTTTTTTTAAATATTAAAATATAAAATTATAATATATAATCAAATAGTTATATCAAAGGTTAATAAAAATATATATTATATTATTAAAAAATATAATATTATAACATGTAATCAGATATTTTGAAATGTATTTAATATAATATATTAATATAATTTATATTATTATATTAAATACACACACACACACACACACATATATATATATATATATATATAATACTATATTAATATATAATGTTTAATACATAATATTTCATATATACATTTTTTTTAGAGTTTAGTTAGTTATTTTAATTAATTTATTTATTGCTTTGATTTGAAGTTTGATATGTTGTAATTAATCACAGAGCTGTTTTTTTTTAGTTCAAGACTTTACTGAAGAGTTCTGAAATTTGTATTGGGAAAATTGCCAAGCCCCCCCAGACTGATCAAAAGCCCCTTATACACACCAGGCATGGCGGAGCGTCCTCATGACTATCGGGGTGTGAGCGTGTAAAGGGCGCTTTTATCACATGCTTTACTCTTGAGGAACAGAGATGGTGACACAGCGTTGTCAGTCAATAAAGCAGCTCTGAGCGCAAATGTTAGTGACACGCAGCAGGTGAGCTCTGCAGCGGCGGAGAGCGGATAGATGTCGAGCTACTCCACAAAATCAGTGCAGCCCCTCGAACGCTGGTATCATCAGGGATTGCCACCTAAATAGTGCAGATTGGTTTTGCATGTATTGAAGGGTGGAGGCTGAGGATCTTGTCATTTTGAAGATTTATCCAGCATGGATTGGAAGGGAGCTGTGCATTTGCTAAATCAAACCCATTTGATTCTTTCAGAGAAGAACAGAGAACAAATGATAGTCAATAGCTGGCTTTGTTTAGATTGGTATTGATTAGTATTTATGGTTGTTTATTGGCTGTTGGCGAGGAAGGAGGCAATCATCTCAAGCATAGTTCAGATACAAGAGCAGAATGCTGAAAATCCTAGAAATCAGAAGCCAATGCTGTGACAGAGACCATATATCATATTTCAACTGACTGAAGAAACACTCACATATAAACACGCAGATTCGCTTTGATTCGTGTGTGCATTTCAGTGCCATTTTATTAACAAAATACAAAACTAATCTTGAATCATTTGTTTTTATCCAGTGCACAGAGACCTTAATTGTTAATTAGTAGTGTGTGAGCAATTTTGTTCACGTGTCATTTGCTAAGGCTAAAGTAAATCTCTAGGTATCAGTACGTGCATCAATCATAGAAAAACCCATATCAGTCAACCACTAATATAAGTATGCATTTTCTCATTCAAAGCTTACAAAATACATTAATGTCCATTTAAAACAATCCTTTTCTTAGCACTTCGATAATTTAAACCTACTCAGTAGTGTGATTTTTGTTAACATCCTTGTATGTTTGCATATGAACTCTTGCTTGATCAAAAGCAGTTCTTTTAAAAATAGATTTTTATTTTCATTTTCCTTAAAAATTTATTTTAACATTTTATTATGAATTATTTTTAATATTTAAAAAAATTATTGTAATTTTATTGAAGATTTGTTTTAATATTTTATGAATAATTCTTTATTAATAATAATTGTAAATCAAATAATTCTTATAATCATTTTTCTGTCATTTTCTGTCATCTGTCATCAGTTTCTGTCATTTTCAGACTCTAGGATTTAGGTCTTAGGTTTTAAGATTCTATTTACATTTATTATTTATACATCTTTTCATTTTTTCACCAAATCATGTTACTTCGATAGTGTTTAGTTATTGCTGTGTCTATCCACCAGCAATAATAAATCCAGGATCTAGTTTCAGACCTCTTTATTTATCATTTAATCCACATATTTATCTCCACACATATCAGAGCTCCTTGTTAAGACTCCATTTTCTTGCTGTTTCATTTCATTTGAAATATTATCTCACAGAATGTTCAACCTGCCAGCAGCGCTACCCTCATTTAAAGTCATACGTTTTATGGGTTTTCATTCACAAGGTTGTGAGAAGCTATCTGCAGTGACAGCAGTTATTATCTGACGTTTTGGAGGTGAATGCTGCAGTGAATGTCAAATCAGAGACAGAATTCTTTCCCATACAAGGATGTTCTAGGTGATGTGAGGAATAGTCCTGTTTTAATAACCTAAAGGAAAATTTGTGCAAAATTTACAGGAACCAGAACAAGTCAAAGGCACTGAGTCGTCCCAGGACAAACTGTCTCGTGTTTTGTCCTACAGTGCGGTTTATCTTGCACCGCATCCTTTAACGGCCTGAAGCTCTGACGCTTTATTTCTCCCTTTCATTATTTAAATGCAAGGCCATCCATTTCATTATTAAAATGCTTCTGAGAGGTCTCAGCCTCTGTTTTCTTTTTACTTGCGCTTATTTGTTTTTTATTCAAGAAGAAACTCTTGGTTTGAAGTTTCTCATAATAATAAATATACTGCGAAAATTGCATTTGAGTTTTTTTTTTTGAATGCTGCAGACTTCCTACATAAAAGACGGTGATGTTTTTGAAGGCTACAGTTGTTCTTATCATCCTTAAGATCAAAAAGCATTCCAGACTTCAATATATGTTCTGTTATATGTATTTGCCTTTCAATTGTGTTAAACTCCTCCAAGGTCCCTGAGTGGTCGAGCCAGAGATCATGAAGTGGAACCTCTTCAAAAAGAAGCCAGAAGCCATGGTGGGCCCGGAGCCCACGGGACCTGGTGGCACCCACCCGTCACACACCATGACGATGGCCCCCGCTGTCTCCACACCTGCGGACAACTCCACCGAGTCTGAGGGGCCTGTCAACAAGAATGATGTCTTTGAGGAAATCAAAAGCAAGTTCCTCAATGAGATCGATAAAATCCCATGTAAGTCCTGCAGAGATGTTTTACAGTCCCACTACATCAAGAAAATCAATAGTGTATCATTATGCTGAAGATGTGTTATGGATTTAAATGCTGGCCAAATTGTCGGGCCCCTAGATATCTGACCAAGCTTACCTTCTTTCTGAACTACAGTAGAAGCGCAATGCAATAAAGAGCAACTTAAAGGAATAGTTTATTCAAAAATGAGAATTTGTTAAGAATTTACTCACTTCATCAGAACAGATTTGGAGAAATGTAGCATTGCATCACTTGCTCTCCAATGGATGCTCTGCAGTGAATGGGTGCCGTCAGAATGAGAGTCCAAACAGCTGATAAAAACATCACAATAATCCACACCACTCCAGTCCAAGCGAAAAAGCTGTCTTGTCTGAATCAGGAGAGAAACATGCACAGATCAAGCACCGTTTACAAGTGAAAACTGTCCAAAACAGATCTAAACAAATATATGGGAGGATTTTGATGTAAGAGGACAACAGGGGATGAACTTTTTCACTGGAGGAAGCGTTATTATAGATTATGGACTGTTTGGACTCTCATTCTGACGGCACCCATTCACTGCAGAGGATCCATTAGTAAGCTAGTGATGTAATGCTAAATTTCTCCAAATCTGTTCCCATGAAGAAACAAACTCTTCTACATCTTGGATGAGCTGAGGGTGAGCACATTTTCAGTAAATTTTCATTTTTGGGTCAAGTGTTTCTTTAACACACGACATGCAGGGTGGAGATGTATGTAACAGTGTTCAGTTGCACCCAACATGACAGAGTTACATAATGCAGCTAAAACAACTGATGCACACTTCAATCTGTTTGATTTTAGAATTAAAACTAGATGATATTAACTTCTATATTAACTGGGCACATCAACAAAAATTAGTGTTGCATCATTAAGAAATGAAAACAAGCCTCAGACCACTTTAGTGTGCGTTGCACTGATAATGAAGGAGAGTCTGTTATGTGATTAGCTTCATGCTTTTCTTTATTGTGTTTGTGAGTAATGTGAGTGTTTTGTTTTCTTTGAAGAGAAATGGTACACTGGATGGTCCAAAACAAGTGTGCTGCTCATGTGATTTCGATCATAAAAAGATAGGAGTTTTAAAATCATTCTATGAAATGAGTGGCTTTAATTATTATGTTATGTTACAGTATGTATCATGAAATAATGTTACAGAATTCAGACCAGCAGTACAATTGCGAATGCAATATAGTTTCTTATTATTAAACAAGAAGTAAATACTGAGTAACTTACATTTTATAATCGATATTATTAGTTACAACTTGTAGTTCAAAGCACAATGAGTCATTTATAAAAACACTTCAGTTGATTTGTCAGAATGAATTTGTCACTGAATGTTTCAGTGACTCATAAACACAGTAACTTGATTTGTCAGTGAATAAATCAATGCTTTTGAACTAATTGGTTGAGCGAATGATTTAGTGACTCACTCTTAAAGACAGTCACTTAATTTGTTGCTGAATGCATCACTGTTTTTTAATTAATCAGTTTGAACAACAAAAGAGTCAGTGAAAATCTCCACTTATAATGCACTACAGGTAGTTTCTTTTCTCGCAAGGATGCACATTTTGAGGAAAACAATATATATCCACCTTATTCTTCAACGCGGAAGTAAGCCGTTTTCTGTGAATGTGCGAGATGTCCAGTTCATTAGCGGAAAATGTAACAAAAGTGCAGTAAAAGATAAAACTGTTTGCACTACAAGCCAGTGTGTTCATAATTAAGATAATACATTAAAATAATATGGAAAGACACACCAATTTGCAATATCAAGCAGCAAAAAGAGCTTTTTTGCACAGCTAAAATAGCTGGACGCAGATGAGACCGGAAGCCAGACACATAAAATTTGTACAAATGGCCGCGACCAATCTTATGGTAAAAATAAGGTGGATATGGTAGCATTTTGTCAGTGATATCTATAATGTTAAATTTGTTACCCCAGTGTATTATTACAAAGACTTATTACAAAGTTTCCAGAAACATACTGTTACCCTCAGTTTTGGGGAAAGTTACTTTTAAAATGAATGCATTACAATATTGTGTTACTAATTATGTTACTGATTTACTTTTTATGGAAAGTAATGCATTGCATTACTTTTTGTCACTTGAGCTGGAGTTGTTTATTCATTTTTATTAACAAAAAAACCCAAAAGTTGTATTTTTGGCAACTTTCACACCAAAAGTGAAATTATTGAGCCTCAGGCTGAAGAAAGTACCTCTTCCTTTGCACCTCAGTCCCAATTTCTCTCTGACGGGGACAGGAGAAGTGTCAGTGAATAAATGGGAAAACAAAGTAACTTGCGTTATTTATTTGAAAAAGTAACTCCGAAATGTTCTTGTTACTTGTAATGCATTACCCCCAACTCTGGTTAACCTGTTACTTTAGCATAAGATGGCATAATGAAGTATACCAAAAAATTTTTATCTACAGACTTACTGAAATGTACAGATATCATTCGATATAGAAAAGACACTCATTTCATAGTTTGATCCTTAAAAACGTAATGCCAGAACTTTATTCCAAACCTGTATGCATACAGATGTCTTAAACATGGCAGTGTGTCATTCCTCACAATGGTGCTCTTGGTGTTGTTTACTGTCTTGAGACTGTCTTTGGTTCTGTTTTTTGGTGTGTCGTGAGTTCAACCTCTCCCTCTCTCTCTGCTCTCCTTCCTCCCGCTATGTGTCTAATGCGCCGCATTTCTTGACGCTCATGGGCGTCGGCGCTACGGTAGGTGGACGGATGAACGGCACAGCTGTTTGGCCGCTGAGTGCTAGCACCTCGTGGGTGGGATTGGATGGAATGGCTGTTGTAACTTCCTTGTTTTAAGCCTTTTGTACCTGCTGCTTGACAAGAATACAATTAAAAACAAAGGAAAGTTACAATGCAAATGAAAACCCCGCTTAAGTGGACCAAAAATGATCTTAATACAATAACAAATAGTCGTACTTGTGTAGGAGGTGTGAATGGAATAACTAATTATTAACTCACTAATACTGGCAAGATGTTTGGAGTTAGTAAGAGACGACCCACAAGACTCACAATGAATGCATGTGTTAAAGGGCATGGCTGTTTTAACTGCACTAAAAGTCCTGATGTCTCAGGGGCTAGAACTAGCAGTAAACCTTAACTATCTAATCATGTTCTGTGATCATATAATCGATTCAGTTTAATGTAAGAAAAATATATGAATTACTGAATTCTTTTAAAAGCAAATGGAAATTAAGAATTTGTTTTTAATATTAGCACATATTCTGCTGTGCCCTTTAATTTGTTCCTATATGGATATGGTTAGGAACTGACTTGAGAGTGACAATTTTTTTGGTGGCACATTAAAACATCTATCAAAAAATCTTTAAATCAGTTTACAGTCCTCATTTTTTACATTTCTTTTAAAAACCTGGGTAAATTAGTTCATATTTCAAGCCCTAAATTATATTGTCCTGAAGATGTAATGCACAAAGATTCAGTTCATATAGCGTAATAATTCTGTTATGCATCGTCTTCACATAAAGTGAACCTAAAATCTATTTAGACGCTTCAGCCACACTTAAAATGTCTCAATGTAATTGTATTAGATAACAAAATATCAAACCAAGTGGCATTTGAGATGCAAATGATGCATCATTTCTTTTAAAAATATTCTGTATTAGGAACCATATTCTCATAGGTAATGATGGTAATTAATAACGTTGAAAACCCTTGTTGTAATGCGATAACTTTCAGACATTTTGAATTGTGGTTAGTGTCCAAATACTTTTTGAGGCCACTGCATTGTGACCTATTTGTGGAAACAAAAAATTAATTCTGCACATTATAGTTTTTTTTTCTCTTCCTGCAGTTTGGATGATGTTCAGAAACACACAAGAACGACATGTCAGCATTTCATACGCCAAGAATAGCACAAAGGAGTCTGTTCTTCTTTAAAAATTTGCTGTCATCACTCGTTCCCTGGAATATCACTGATGAACAGTTAAATTTATCATGCTGATGATGAGAAAACGCTTGCATGCCAAATTATGCATATCAATAAAAACTCTTGTTTTCCATTTACTACCAAACCTAATTTGAATATAGAGTCAAAACGTAATTGTATTAAAGAAGAAATTAAACTCTGGAAAGCCAAGATAAGCAAACAGAACAAAGTGTCACCAATAAAAATTGTGAACTCGAGTCATTTGCAACATCCAGCCCTGAATGACAACATACTCCGAGTGCACTATGGCAGATAACCAGTAGGTCAGGTCAGGTAGAAGCATCTCTCCAATCTTACTGCAACTGACCGGGCCCTGAGCTTGTGGCATGCTTATAGACAGGAACCAGATATACTTTCATCCCAGATATCGACTCGCTAAAACAATTTGTCATTTGCCCTACAGAAACACCAGGATGATGATGATGAAGAAGGAGAAACTGGTTTGACGGAGGAGGAGAAAGAGGAAGAGGAAAAAGAAGTGGAAAAACTTGGAAAGCTTCAGTATTCGTTGGATTACGACTTCCAGGATAACAAGGTTAGGATGTCAGATTAATGACATCATATGCTGCAATATAAACTAATAACATCGCCCAGTATCATATCTGCTGAATGAAATCCAATATTTGTTTCATACTAAATTTGGGGTGCTGATTCCAGAGCTAGAGGCTGTTTGGCAAAAGCACGTCACATTTTATCACAAAATTTGATGCATTTTGTAGCATTTTTGCTTTCGTCAATCATTTAAGGTGAAGAAGTCTTGTATTGTCCCTTAATCAGCGGAAAAACACTACAGAGATTCCCATCTTCCTCTGAGCCAGATTACAACTCATTGTTTATTCAATTCTCAGATCAATTTCACATGTATGAATGACTCTGAAGACACTATTTTATGCTTAATTTCAAGGTCAGTGACAGAAGAAAATGCAAACATGACTGTTTTCCAAAATATTGAACATATTATTCCACTCTTTTGCTTATTGTGAGTTAAATGATACTTTTTGAATGGTTATTTTGTTGTTAAAAACAAAACTTTTGACATTTGACTGCTGTTATTTTGAGAAGTGCATTATAGCTGATATATTTTATAATATTTTATATACATATATACTATATATACATATGGGCCATTCTACAGAATTGGTGCAAAATGCTGTCCCACACCCAAAAAACACATTTAAAAAGCATTTAGGTATTCAAATCTTAGATGTTTACTAAGATCCTTCTATTATCTATTGAAACCCACAATAATATTTAAAATATTAGTAAGCTAAAAGTGTGTCCCGCCTTTTTCATGTCACTACCAAAACAATGTATGTTTTAGTCCGTTGGTCGAGAATGATTTTAACTACACCCCTAAATTTATGATCAGGAAATATTCCTGTGTCCTCGTCTCTCACAGCTACAAGGTGTGAGTGGATAGGTCCAATCATTTTGAGGTAAATGTGTTCACAGAACAATCTGTGTAACTTTAAGGAACGTCACTACCGAACACCTTTTTTCTGCAATTAAGCACACTTTTTTGGGAGTTATTCCATAACATTTAGTTTTAATATGTGTACCACTATGTGTCGAGTTTAATATGTATTCAGAACTGTGCTAGCTAACCATGTGCTGATTAGCATCTTTGAGCTGAGTATGTAAAATTGTCACAACTGAATCAGTCACTGCTGAAACATGTGGTGGAGTTTCGGTAGTGACATCTTTGGGTTTTTTGGGAGTTAACCCATTGAATTGTCACTACCGAAACAGTCACGACCGAAACATGTCATCATTGTTTCGGTAGTGACAAAGGGGAACACATAATCCTCATATTTTGGGGAAATAAACAAAATTTTAGTACAGTTATGCGATTTTTTTGTATTTTAATATTTTTAGTATGTGAGTTAAAATTCTGTAATGTGATGTGGTCGCTACCAAAGCGTTACTGTCGCTACCGAAAATGTGCAGTCATTACCGAAACATGGGATGTTTTGTCAAAAGTAAAGTATACTGAATTATCAACTAGTATGTTAAGATAGTTTTCGGCTCAGTGTATATTCAGACTAATAAATCCTTAACTTTGAAATCAGTATGATCAACTTTTTGCCTTTTACAAAGAAACATTTGATTCAGAATTCAACAAATCTCATATTACACATGAAATATTGTTAAAAATGTAATTGTTTTTGATTTACCTCTGAAATTTTTTTTAAGAAAATAGCAAAAAAGTATATATTTACAATGTAGATGTAAGCAAAATCTTAATAGGTCAATATAACTCTTCTAATTAAATTATTATTACTGTGTTCCGGTAGTGACAAATTTGGGGAGAGGACAAATATTCCATACATACACATTTTTTTTGGAAAAAGACATTTTTTTCAAGACGTTTCCAACTCTGACTTTGAACCAGTTCTGTAGAATGGCCCATATAGTTTTGTTTGCACTCAACATCATCAAATTAGGTCATTTTAGGCCTCTTTTTCAAATCAGCAGGGTTTTATTTTTTAGAGGTGTTATGATTCTGTTTCTCATTTTATCATCTTTTTTTTTTTTTTGATAATGAAACGTGTTGTTAGTTATTCATTTTGGCTCATATTAAAATATATGAAGATGCATTTGGACACAATTATATGATTAAGTACGAAAGTCTTGGGGTAATTAATAGGAATTTTGTTCTCGTTTTGTGTCCCACTGAAAAATAACAGCATGTTTGTGTTTGGACCAACATGAGACTGAGTAAACAATGACAAAGTTTTTTCTTTTTTGGGTGAACTATTCTTTTAACTAATACATCTCTTAAAAGTTCCCTGTATTATGATCTTTGAGAAAGTTTGTGCTCGTGCTGCGCTGTATCTTTCACTAATGATGGTGTTTAACAGCACGGCTTAGTATCTGCTGAGTCACAGCTGTAGGTAAAGTTGCTTACGGCTCAACCAAAATGAGTTTAAACAAACGTTAATGACAGTGAACCGTTATTCTTACCATGTGTTTTAATGCAAATAGATCCAGTTTTAATATGCATAAAGCCACATGATATTGCTAGAGTATAAAAAACGTGTCTTTATAAACAAGACTTTCAGTTTATAATTCAGTTTAAAATAATGCATAAAGCCTGACAGGCATTTCACGGCCATTTCTGTACTGTCATTTATTAAATGGTAGCACATCCCAAAGGCAAATTTTAGTGTAAATTTCTCAAGAAAAATCTGAGAAGCAGGAGACTATTTGCTGTCCATTTAATATCATTTAAAATGTACCAAAGAGATCACATGTGGGATTTAATATCATTTCTTCAAGATATTCTTTCCATTCACTATGTCTCTTCTCTTGCTTCTGTTTTTCTTTCACAGCTGACCGTGGGAATCATGCAGTGTGCCGATCTGATTTCCATGGACTCTGGCGGAACGTCCGACCCTTACGTTAAAGTGTTCATCCTACCAGACAAGAAGAAGAAGTTTGACACCAAGGTGCACAAAAAGACCCTCAACCCAGTGTTCAACGAATCCTTTGTCTTCAAGGTAAGCTGTTTATTATTTTAAAATGACTCATTGTAATGTCAGTCATTTTGTTGGTCAAATATAGATGCATAAAGCATATCGAATAAAACGAAAATAGCGATGTGCCTCCAGTGATGTTGGTCTGTCATTAGTGTTTATTGGCGGTTTTCTGCAACACCAGCATTTCGGTCCTATTGCTTCCAGCAGCTTGTGAATGAGCTTTAGTTTCCCAGAGTCAGTAATGAGCTCCGGAGGGGCCGAGCATCCTCTGGTGGACACTGGTAGAGCTCTAATAGTCTCACTCGGAGAAAAGTGATCTAGGACAGGAACAATTGGCCGTCTTCAAAGCCCCTGCCTTACAGTGAGAACGGCTGACTGTGTTTCTAAAAATGGATCGACCGTATCTGCACACTGTATGAGTGAGATAGAGAAAACAAAGCCAAGTGAGGAGGAGGTTTTCGCATGCAAACGATGTGAAAAATAATTACACAAAAACACGATTAGAAAAATCAACTGTAAACTGAATGTAATTTTTTTTTTTATTATGTATTAAAATCTAATATTTTAATATTTAAAAAAATGTTTATCAGTTGTAATTCACATTAGTCACAAATATTTCATATATTTTAAGATACACTATATGATCAAAAACATTTATGGTTTGGATTCACAATCTCACACTTTTTAATATATGTGACCCTGGACCACAAAACCTCTTAAGTCTTAAGTCGCTGGGGTATATTTGTAGCAATAGCCAAAAAAAAACATTAATATATATTATTTAATACATGTTTTATAAAATAATATTAATTTTGTATTTTAATATTTTAAAAAATGATGTCACAAACTTTTAATATATTTTAAGATATTACACTATTTCCTTTTATTTTAATATTTAAAAATGTTTATAGGCTTTGCTTCACAAACTTTTATTATATTTTAATATATAAGAATAATTAATTAGAATATTCAACATTTTTTGTTTTAATGTGCTAAAATATATTTTAAGACACATTTATTGAATAATCTGTTTCTGCCTGTCTATCGATGGCAGAACTAAGCATCTCCTATATATAACAATCCTCAAAGGACAATATGTTCTATGCTCAGATTTATGACTCAGCACTGCAAAAACGGTTTGAAACACCTTTGTGTATAATTTATGTTGATTCTTCTCAATGGTTTCCATGTTAGATCGCATACGAGGAGCTGGGTGGCAAGACGCTGGTCATGTCTGTGTATGACTATGACCGCTTCTCCAAGCACGACATCATCGGTGAGGTCAAGCTACCCATGAACACTCTGGATCTGGGAAAGCCGATCGAGGAGTGGAGAGACCTGGATAGTGTTGAGAAAGAGGAGGTGATTATTAAAGAATCTGCTATTAGGATCTATTTTTAACTGATCCGAGACAGATTTGAAAAGAAAGCAAGCAGAGATGCTTTGGATCAGTACCTTCAAATCATAAATGATCACCCATTGATATCTTCTTCTTACAGCCGGAGAAGCTTGGTGACATCTGCATCTCTCTGCGTTACGTTCCCACTGCGGGCAAACTGACCGTTTGCATTCTCGAAGCCAAGAACCTGAAGAAGATGGACGTGGGCGGCCTGTCTGGTGAGAAACAAGCTGAGATATATGAGACCAGTAAGATATATTTCATATGTTTGATGCAATTAACTCGACATTTGACCTTTTGCAGACCCGTATGTGAAGATCCAGCTATTGCAGAACGGCAAGCGTCTAAAGAAGAAGAAGACTACGGTGAAGAAGAACACACTGAACCCTTACTACAATGAGTCCTTCAGCTTTGAGATCCCTCTGGAGCAGATGCAGGTAGAATTGAACTTATGTTTTTTTATTCTTATTATTTGTTTGGAAAAGTCACATCATGCAACATATTAGTACATAAGATGTTTTCATATTCATCATTGCTTTTCTGTACATTTTTCCAAGCAAACCAAGACAAAATACAAAGAAAAAAATAAAAAATCAAAGGAAAATAAATAAAAAATACCAGTAAAATTTTTTTTAAAGATTTTTAAGAAGATCAATGCAGGGTAGTAATATAATGTAATCAATTCTGATATTTTTTCAGATATATTTGAAACTTTTTCTGTTGACAAAATATAATTAATAACTTAAGACAGTATTACAGGCTGTAAACCAATTCTTTGTAATTGTTTTCTTAGAACCAGCTAACATTATTTTAAATAAATACTGGTAATCTGTAATATTTTATATTTGTTATTTTTTATTTTGGGGTGTAAAGCCCAAATAAAGCACTTTAAAGGAGACATATTATGCCCTTTTTTACAATATGTAATATAAGTCTCTGGTGTCCCCAGAATGTGTCTGTGAAGTTTCAGCTCAAAATACTCCACAGATCATTTATTATATCATTTTGAAAATGCCTATTTTGAGTGGAAGCAGAAACAGCTGTTTTTCGGGCCTGTGTCTTTAAATGCAAATGAGCTGCTGCTCCCCGCCCCCTTTTCCAGAATAGAGCTGTGCCATTACAGCTCGAACCTGCTAAAAACATCTGTTTTGGTTCTGATTATCATGTTTATCGCGCTGAAATCATGCGTTTTAAACTTCTGATATACGGTTTTCTGAGCGCACACATCCGAAGCACACGCACAGAAAGCGACTGTCACAGCATGTGAGTACTAAACTAAGTTCTCATTTACACACAAGTTTATGTTAAAAACACACATGAGTTACAAAAAGATTCGGTTATGTCTGTGAAGGTAAACAGCTGGGAAATAAATCGCTTGTTTATTTTAGATCTGTGTGGCAGCAGCAATAAACAGTAGCCTAAATACATCAATAAATCCACTGCTCTGTTGTCTCCTTGGAGGCTGGGACTCTAAACAGTGTTCTGTGCTCGTCTGTGCAGCCAAAGACAGAACAGTTATCATGTTTTGCTCAATATCCAATACATATTTTACAATTTTACATTTCCCTTAAAAGGATTTAATTTTATTACAACGCCAGAAAATATGGTAATAATTAGCATTTATATGCCTACATTGTATACAATGCAATAAATCATCTGGAAAAAAAATTAAATGTTTTTTTTGGATGGGCAGGTGTAATAAAATAATGTACTACATTTTTCGAATTCCCTCCTAAATGATGTTATAACAATTTCTACCAGAATAATGGTTGATTTTGATTTAAAATTTTGAAGAAAAAAAAAATATTTAAACATCTTCTTAACCACATGTTCTTGAACATACAGTAGAAACAGAAATATTGTGCAATATTAATACTAATTAACTTAATTAATACAAAACAAAACAACTGTTTTCCGTTTAAAGGGGTCATATGATTGATTTTCAATTGTTCCTTTCTCTTTGGAGTGTTACAAGCTCTTGGTGCATAAAGAAGATCTGTAAAGTTGCAAACACTAAAGTCTCAAAACCAAAGAGATATTCTTTATAAAAGTTAAGAG